TTTGATTAGTAGAACCTACCTAGTATGCAATTAAAGTGACTTATTAAAATGGTGGTTGACATTTATAGGAGGAGCTTAAGATTCTGCGTCTGCGTTATTCCCTGTTGGTGGAGGAAGAATTGGAGACAAGAGAGAAGGAACTGAACCGACTCATGGAGCACAAAAAAGCCATGAAGGTACACTGGCTCTTCCTTCATTATCTACACTTGCTCTATGCTCATTATCTGAGCTAGCTGGTTTCCTAATTAGAAGTTAAAAGAACTGTATTTTTAAGTTTTTGATTTCTGTTGTTCAGGCTTTGACAGCAACTGCTGTGATGGAGTCTAAGAAACACATGGATGCCTTCAAGGAGCAGTATGACATTTTGAATGCTGAGGACAAGGTCATGGACAAAGCGTTCAAGCGGGAATTCCATGACGTTACGGCCGTACAACAAGATCAGCTTTACAGGCTGTTTAGAAAGAGACCAAGGTATGAGACACATACACAAAGTAAAAACACTCTCTAATGCCTTTATTACTTATTTTTCCCAAAATAATGAACAATTTATTTATCTTGTAGGTGTATGTTAAATTCATGTTTATATTTTTTTCAGAATACCAAGACTTAAGGGTTTTGACACCCCTGCTCCCTCCACAGCTGATTCCTCCCTCCCCAATCCTTTTGCTGATCGCCCCTCCACGGCCAGACAGCACGCCCAGGCCAAGGCACAGCTGGACGCTGCCATTCAGGACCTGGACAAAATCTCCAACATGCCTGATGGAGTGGACGAAGCAGTGTGGCAGAGGCTGTGTGCTTATAGAAGGGAGAAGATAGAGAATGATTTATTGGTAAGTTACATAAATGATACAAGTGGAAGACTAGTTATGTAAAAGCTTATTTAAATTTGAACAGACAAGATCCGTCTTTCATGGACGCATTTTTTGTCAACTTTATGCTTAAATTTTTTTATCATATCAAAATTTTGAGATGACCTTGTAAATGTAAATTTTCTAATACATGTCAAGTTGAAATGAAAACAGACAGACTATTTGATATCCTGACACTTGTGTTACAGATAAAACAAAAAGCCTTGGTCCTGGCAGAAATGGACAACTTTTATAAGAAGAGAGTGGAGGAAGATGAGGGACTGAAGAATGAAATAGAGGGAATATTTGATACACTCAACAAGTAGGTTATATCTGAAAATTTACTTTATCAGTCAGCTGTTGACAAATAGATACAAATTACATCCATGACATATAACTATAAAGTAAACCTCCAAATTCATATACTTTGAATTCCTACTTTGTTTCTTAGATTGCATGATGACAGAATACGATTTAACCTTAACCTTGAAGTCCAGTTAATGCTTAAACAAGGTCAAGTTGAGGTGGATCCAACAAATTTCATCCATGATTATAAAGACAGTGCTCTGATCCACAGGAGCGTGGTAGAGGAACTCAACAGTAATATCAAGGTACGTACCTCAGTACAATAAAAATCTGTATAATACATGTATTTAGTTTGGACATTTAGTGGCATGACCTAATATTTCAAATACACTTCAGATATCAATATACAGTTTTTAGTACGGTCAGATGTTATCTAAATTTGGTATTTTTGGTATGCACCCAGGATATATGAGCTGCATTTGATCTTTTAATTTTTTCATGTTTAACCCAGCTTTTCATATACATGAAACTTTGGTTTGAGATAGTCAAGTTTGAAAGGTTTTGATTAAATTATAATAATTCTCAATATGTACATTATTTTGTAGCAATTAGGTGAAAGCAAGATAACAAGTATGATGGAGAGTAAGGACTTCAGGAAGGGAATTATACAGCTAGAATGGTTAGTAAACCTTTAGAGTTTACAGTGATTTATTTTTAATTTGTTTTCATTGTACCAATACATGTACTTGTTATACCTTGTTCTTCATCACTCTTAACAGGGAGCAGAAGAGAATGCTGATGCAGATGGAGGATCTACAGAATAAGATGAAAGATATTCAGTTCATGAAAGTCACCAGAGAAATCCAACTGGTAGGTTAACTTTTATATGAAACGATTTATAGAATCAACTGTATGCAGTCTAATCAAATTTTATTACACTTCAGTATCTACCCTAAATTATACAAGTTTCCTTCAGCAAGATTTTGAGAGACCCTATAATTTATAGATGATTAGCATACAATTTGTAATGCAATCATAACAGAAATTTAAATAATCTTAAAAAATACCATTCCAACACACATTTATCATAAAGTCGAATAAAAGAGATTACTTTCAAAATATTCAAAAAAGTTAATGAATACATAAAATTTAGACTAAAAATAATCAAGTTTTAATCCATTATCTTCATACAATGCATTAATATATTAATATATAGCTTAATACATGTGTTTTTGTTGTAGTATTTGTCAAATGAGGATTATGAGGGCAGAAAGGCAGAAGAAATAGGAAAATTAGAACAGACAATTCTCACCCAACTAAAGGTAATTAAGCTAACCCTTTAACATGTTTAGCAAATATTGTCAGAAGCAGCAGCAATGTTAGTGACAAGAAATAAAATAGACTAAACATATTATATTTGGCTATGCATTCTTTTTAGCGCTTTTGGCGGGAAGAAATTTCAAGTACAGCGTTAAGTGACTTGCACATTATATACATGTAAAATATATATAAGAACTCCAAGAAATGTGCTAAATCAAATCCACACTAACTTATTATAACTCAAATTTACGCTAGATATTGTACACACTAAAAAAATATAATACATTAATTTACAGAAGACTGTTATTAGTTTACATTAAATAGACTTAATTAGTATATATTCATGTGTATAATTGGTCCAAAATATATATATATCCACAAACATTTAATCAGTTTATTATCAAATTAAAAGAAAAATGAATTCTGAAGACAAAAACAATTGTTTCTTCAGCATCATGAAAAGAATGTCAAAGAGAAGAAGAAAATAATGAAAGATTTACAGAAGACAATCAAGTCACGAGATTCCGAAAACTTCTCCATGGATAATGATCTGGCGGAATTGAACGTCACAGTCAACGAAAGGAGACTCATCGACCAAGTCAACGGTAGGGCGCATTTCTCAGAGATGAAGATGCTTGAAAATTGTACCTCAGTTCCATAGAAATTTTCAAGTCATTATATCAACTCACTTCAAATGGAAAATATATATTTCAAGAAAGTTTTTAATCAGTAGTACTTGAATTGATATTTTTCATTTTTTTTGAAATGTTCAGTGTAAATAATAAAGACTTTCATTATTTGAAATTTCATGCCACTGAGCAACATGGTGCTAATTAATGGAATTTTAACATATATAAACCTTTTGAACTTTGAAGTATAACCTTGAAATAAAAGTTCTGATAGAATACAAACATCTACCTGGTACTTTAAAATAAATTAACTGTACACCAATATAAAATACGTGTAGTATCATAAAATATTGCTGCAGTCTCAACCTTTTTACATAATAAGGAAAACTACATTTATTTCAGCTGAGAGGAGATCTGACACTGGAGCAGAAAAGCGATATCAGGAAATTGTCCAGCGACGGAAACTCGTGGACCTAGCCAAAGCCCAGGCACAGGAAGTAGCTGTGTTACGAGCGGAAGTGGAGCGGTTACGAATGAGAACTTTCCCAGCTTTAGTTCAAGTGGAACACTAGCATTGGCTGAATGTGATTTTGTTTTGTGATATCCAACAGTTTTGTAAAAAATCAGTGATTTTTGAAACTTTGATCTGATATGAAACTAAATAATCATGTAATTTTGAGGCACATTTGGCAATCTTTCTTTATCTACGTTCACAGATAACATAAGATCAGGAAGTGTTTATTGTTGAATGTGGACCTGTGAATATTAAATATTGTCATGTTTGAAGGAAATTGTAAACTTAATTTTTTATTTAATTTTTTTTTTGTACTCTTTTTTTTATTTAAAGATAACACACCAATGTGCTGTTTAGAAGGGAATATATTCTCTGATGAATGAAATGGTATACATTATTTAAAAATCTGTGATATAGTATACATGTACATGTAGAAAGAAAAGTGCATCTTATTTTGTTATTGATACTATGTAATATCACGTATCAAGCCATGTTCTAATGTGTGAATGATACATATTAAAATGATGAAATCAAGGGTTTTCTTAGAAAGTCTATCTTTACTAAGTAAACCAAACAGCCTATATCAGAAGTGTGCTCAATGATGTAGCTGCTTCATAGCTTGATCCCTTGTTTTAAACGTTTTTCTACTATAAATTTGCTACATGTATAATCTAGATCATCTCTCCTGATTTTGAAACATCTGCATTTTTTTTTAATTCGAAGAAAGAGTAAACATTTTTTTTTTTTAAATGAATTTTTTTTTAAAAAGTTCCCTTTTCTAATGGTGTTGCTTCATTGTCATTTCAAAATCCATGTTGTTTGTGTAGCAAAGACAAGAATCAGTCCAGAGCACAAGAATGTTTTTTTTTTTGTTAAGTCCTTGCATGGAGCATTTATCATATAAGCATGAAAAATATAAAACAGATCACCAACACTTCGTGAGAATGCAGCAATAAATTTATTTTGTTGACCGGTTTTGACCTGACGGTTGTCATCATAACAATCAATCATGTAAATTTATCTATTGAAAAAAATAAAGTAAAAAAGTGGATGACACTGCCATAAACAAAATAAAATGCGGACTGTAGTTTGTTTACAGCAACGTCATCCACATTTTTTACTTCAATAGATAAATTTAAATGCTTGATTGTTCTAATGTCACAGGTCGAAACAGGTCAACAAAATAAATTTACTGCTACATCCTCACAAAGTGTTGATGATCTGTTTTATATTTTACGAGTTTACAACAGAGTTACATACCCTATTGAATACCTTTCTGTATCCACACATAAGAATCTTCTGCAATTTTAACAAAAAGGTGTTGGTCTCCAGCATTTCTTTGTTTAATATTATAAGTAATCAAGTCATTTCCAGCTTAATTTTTACCGATTTATTTGAATTTTAAAACAGATATATTTTGACAAAGTTGCATCAAGAAAAAAAATTTTTCCAACTTAAATAACTGAAACTTCAATATACATGAGTAATTGCATTTATCTTGCATGTACTGTAATTTAAGATAAGGAGACTGAAGCACTCCAATTTGACAAGGTATTTCAATGTAAATGTAACATTTTCATATGTGTATTACTTTGTTAAGTCTGTCCAACTGTAGTCAGAAAACCAAACCACCTATGTGGCTGGACATTTAAACTGTATTCATACACTGTTCCTGCAGATCACACACCAAATACAGCATTATAAACAAAAATCAGTTTAAATTAGTTCAGCTGAAGCTGATAATTTTCAGAAAATAACATGCAATGCACAGCAATGGACAATAATTCTTAGCAAAAAGTCACGTGTGACCCAGGAGACACAAAAAATATATTAAAGGAATCACAGTCTTGTTTGTTAGGGATGCCAGGGCATCAACAATACATGTAGTTGGAAACGTGGGATAAATATCCCAAGTTTCAAACTATCATTGATGTCCCTGGCATACCCAACAAACTAGACAGTGATTCCTTATATTTACATTTCATTGTGAAATAAAATTGTAAAGATTTAATCTAGTAGACTTAAATTACACCAGGCCTCCCATGTCAATTTCACTGACGTCAAACACGAAGACAGGCACATGAGATTTACATGCATATTAGGCCTCCTTAGCTCACCTTCTGATTGGCGAAATTTACATTCCCATTGAATTATCAAGAAATCAACTTGCCTAACTTGCAAAGAATTATCACAGAGAAGACAAATAGGAATGGAAATATTAAAAGTTCAGCCACAAGGACATAGAGTATATAATTAACCCTGAGTGAGATAACATACATTTATAATGTATTAATAATAACTTATTTCACTGATAACAACTGAAGTCTAGTGTCTTGACTTGTAAGTCTATTATACTGTATAGATAACTTAATTCACCGATAACAACTGAAGTCTAGTATTTTGAATTGTTAGTTGATTATAATGTATAACTTGATTCACTGATAACAACTGAAGTCTAGTGTCTTGACTTGTAAGTCCAGCGCAGCATAGAGTCTTTTACTGTCAAACGCCAAAGAATACACAGGACTGTTCTGTCGGCCTATATAAAAGGTCTGCAACAAAAAAATCAAGTGTAAAACATTTCAACATATAGTGAGTAAAAGGAGAATTTTAAAATTCAAATATTCAAACTACTTCTGGTAGAAATATTCTCATGATTTAACAACCATGTAAATATAAAATGCATCAGTGCAAGCATATATCATTGATCTGTGAAATAAATCTTTTTTCCACAAGATCAAAAAAAAAAAATTTCCCCTTATTCCTTTAATGCAAATATTGAACCAAAAAGCAAAATATAAATGGAGTTCAAGATTTCTTCAATATTTGATAAAGAGGTGGAATAAAAATAAGGCTTTACCTGGACAGGTTTTTTTGTTTGCCTTTTGTCCCACAGATCAACCAATCCATGCCGCGATGCTCCAGCGAATATGTTCATGTGACCATCTGACTTGAGACAGTAGTATGCCGAGTCAAACCTTTGTTCCCAGGAACAGACACTGTCATACAGATTTATACAGAATTTAAACATGCTATGCATACCTCAGAAAATTAAAGGCATTGTGAATACTGTCATGATATTTAACAAAGAGAAGCCCAAGGGCTCAGAAATTAGTTCCGTATTGAACAAGAGGCCCACAGGCCTTATAGTTCACCTGAGTATTGTGTAACAACCTTCAAACAATTAAATTTGGTTCGTGTTTTAAACCAGAGGCCATGAAATTCACAATTCACAATTTTGAAAGAGGCACCATTGCTTATCATAATTATTAACTTAGCATGCTTACTCTGTTTACTTAATACCCAGAGGTAGATCAGAGTAACAAAGAGAAAATGCACTTCCACTTTATACCCAGTTGTGCACCTCACTCCAAAGGAACCCCTGACCCAGGGGGAACATATTTCAAAATTTTGCAAATTTTATCATAAAATGGTTAATTAATACCAAAGAGCAGATTTCAAAGCATTAATTTTAATTTTCAGACTATGTAACACCCCCCCCCCCCCCCCGACCCAGGGGCATGAAAAACCACTTTGCTAGATGCACCTTTCTTCATCATAAATATATATACTTGGATCATTGGCATAAAACCCAGAAGCAAAGGAAAATATTTTTGAAGAATTAATGTATTTTTACTATATAATCAATAGAGCTCCACCCTAACACCAGAACCCCCATCCCTGGGGCCATAAAATTCACAATTTGGAAGAGGCACTCTTGCTCATCATAACTATGTACTTAGTTAGTTTATTTAATACCCAGAAGCAGAGAAGAAGATTTTCAAAGAATAATGCATTTTCACTATACAATCAATAGAGCCCTGCCCTAACACCAGAACCCCTGACCCTGGGGCCATAAAATTCACAATTTTAGAAGATGCACTCTTGCTTATCATAACGATGTGCTTAGTTAGTTTATTTAGGCTGTTTAAAGTTAATTCTACGTTTAACGTCACATCTAAAGTTCAAAACCTATGAGGGAGGGAGGAAAAAAATAAACAAACAAAATTTTCAAACAAAGGTGAATTTATTCAAATTAACCTATTCAGTACATTAAAAACATTAAAATTAAGTAATATGAGCATTTAATTGATATGGCACCTAAGATTAATTTTCCTAGCAGAGTTTTTCCTTAGTGTGTAAATCAGTTTGAGTGCTATTGTTAGCGAAAATGTAGTCTAAAACTGAATGTGCAGGAAAGTGGCTTTTAACTAGGCCTCAGTTGTCCTTTGGATTTGTATTGCCACACGTCCATGGTACCCTGGAGGCAAATGCTTCTTCTTGTGGAAATAGTTGCTCAATATCTACAATTAAAATTATTGATGACAATATTTAAAACTGTTCATGTTGAAATATCCTCAAATTGAATTATGTCGTATTTTTTCTTAGTACTAGATCTACTAGCATTAAGTTTTGAAAGTGTGAATACTAATATTTGGACCATACTGATAGCTGTTAGACTATCTTTAATACCTTGAATTCCACACAAAGGACATGATTCTTCACTTCTTGGAATACCTCAAACCACTTTCCTTACTCTCCTTCACTTGAAAGGCCCTATCTTCGGTAAGCTTTTCCCTGCTCAAATGGTTAAGACAAGTATTATCTTTTCCAAAAATTGTAGCTATTTGTACTGGTACATGAATATTATGAAGAAATCAATTATCTTACTCATTACTGTTCCTTTCGATTTTTACAGAATTTTTTTTTAATATTAAATAAATTAAATAAGATTTAAATGATGCTTTTCACTGTTTATAAATATTGGTTTTTGACACACTTTCCACTCAGTAAAAAAGTTTTTCGATTGTCTCCAAAATACAATGAAAAGTTCAGCCAATAATCACGAACTGAGAGTCTGTCAGTCTGTACATGTGATTCGAAGACTGAAAAAAAAATCAACAAACTAGACTTTGTCATTAACTTCAATCATAAAATCATCTATTTTTTACTTACATTTATGGTCCCAAGCTCTTTAATTCACTAGTTTTCTTTAATAAGACACCAACTGCCTTTTTACCGCGACTATCAAAGCATATTTTCTGTCACTACGGGAAGCAGAATTTAGTCGCTAATTGTAGAACCAAACCGGAACGGACATACGGAATTCCGAATTGTTTGTTTTTTTCAAAGACGAATTTCTCATAAACCTACGCGCGCGGGTGACGTTAAACATAGTTTTAATTTTAGACAGCCTTAATACCCAGAAGCAGAGATGAAGATTTTCAAAGAATTAATGCATTTTCACTATATGATCAATAGAGCCCTGCCCTAACACCAGAACCCCTTACCCTGGGGCCATAAAATTCACAATATTGGAAAAGGCACACTTGTCCTTCATAACTATGTGCTTAGTTAGTTTATTAAATATGAAGAAGCAGAGAAGAACATTTTCAAAGAATAAATGCATTTTCACTTTATAATCAATAGAGCCCTGTCCTAACACCAGAACCCCTGACCCTGGGGCCATAAAATTCACAATTTTAGAAGAGGCACTCTTGCTCATCATAACGATGTGCTTAGTTAGTTTGTTAAAAACCCAGAAGCAGAGAAGAAGATTTTCAAAGAATTAATGCATTTTCACTATATGATCAATAGAGCCTCGTCCTAACACCGGAACCCCTGATCCTGGGGCCATAAAATTCACAATTTTGGAAAAGGCACACTTGCCCATCATAACTGTGTGCTTAGTTAGTTTATTAAATATTCAGAAGCAGAGAAGATTTTCAAAGAATAAATGCATTTTCACTATATAATCAATAGAGCCCTGCCCTAACACCAGAACCCCTTACCCTGGGGCCATAAAATTCACAATTTTAGAAGAGGCACTCTTGCTCATCATAACGATGTGCTTAGTTAGTTTATTTAATACCCAGAAGCAGAGAAGAAGATTTTCAAAGAATTAATGCATTTTCACTATATGATCAATAGAGCCCCGTCCTAACACCAGAACCCCTGACCCTGGGGCCATAAAATTCACAATCTTAGAAGAGGCACTCTTGCTCATCATAACGATGTGCTTAGTTAGTTTATTTAATACTCAAAAGCAGAGAAGAAGATTTTCAAAGAATAAATGCATTTTCACTATATAATCAATAGAGCCCCGCCCTAACACCAGAACCCCTGACCCTGGGGCCATAAAATTCACAATTTTGGAAGACGCACTCTTGCTCATCATAACTATGTACTTAATTAGTTTATTTAATACCTAGGAGCAGAGAAGAAGATTTTCAAAGATGTAATGCATTTTCACTATATAATCAATAGAGCCCTGCCCTAACACCAGAACCCCTGACCCTGGGGCCATAAAATTCACGATTTTGGAAGAGGCACTCTTGCTCATCGTAACTATGTACTTAATTAGTTTATTTTATACCCAGGAGCAGAGAAGAAGATTTACAAAGAATAAATGCATTTTCACTATATAATCAATAGAGCCCCACCCTTACACCAGAACCCCTGACCCCGGGGCCATAAAATTCACAATTTTGGAAGAGGCACTCTTGCTCATCATAACTATGTACTTAATTAGTTTATTTAATACCAAGGAGCAGAGAAGAAGATTTTCAAAGAAATAATGCATTTTCACTATATAATCTTTAAAGCCCCGCCCTAGCACTAGAACCCCTGACCCTGGGGCCATGAATTTCATAATTTTGGTAGAGGACTCAATGCTCATTACATTCATGCCAACAGTTTGCCTGCTTGATGTCCAGGAGTAAAGAAAAAGATTTTTAAAGATTGCAATAATTTTCGTGGTTTTGGCCCCACCCCTCAGGTCCAAGGGGGGCCGGGAACATGAAATTTACAATATTTGTTCCCCTTCACCCATAAATACTGTATACCAAATTTGGTTGAAATTGGTTCAGTGGTTTCAGAGAAGAAGCTGAAAATGTTCAAATGTTAACACACGATGCACAACGGACGACGACGGACGAAAACGGATAGCAATAGGTCACCAGAGTTACTCAGGTGACCTAAAAATTCAATGTTATCTTTGTAATTGACAAATATATACTCAATAAGGAGTCTAAAATGGTCAAAATGACCTGAAAAAGTTTTGGCTAGATCTCACCTTGTGTTGATTCTAAGGTCCCACATGTGTACAAAAGTGTCATATCCGCAACTCAGCAATGTGTTTTCATTCTCATAGTGCAGGTCTAAGACACCTGCTCCAATCTTGTGTTGTGTGCCTAATTGGCCAACTGCACACTTTCTGAAATCAAACACAGATTTACGATGGTACAATGGATTTCATAAACTTATGATATGCTGTTAATAAATGTGTGAAGTTTCTGTACATACTTATTTAAATCCACCAAAGATATTGGGGCATCTCCTTCACAAAATGCTGTTCCACATGCACAAAAGCTGAAAGACATTTTTTTAGGTGAATCGTTCATCCATATGACTAGAGTTATTCCTCTGAATACGTATTTTAAATGTTTCCAAAGGAATTTGAATCACAATTACCTATTTTTTTTTAAAAAAAATTGTGCTTCAACAACTGTAAAATTAGTTTAAAAAACTACCTGCCACACTGAGAGAGGGTGAGAGACCAGACCCTGTCCCCAACAGGGAAGCAGCATTTCTCCTCCACTCCAATGATTCCACTGTAATTATCTAACTGGAGCTCAAATACCTACACATGGCAAAAATAAACAGGTCATTACATCACATTGGTAGATATACATTTATCATGCTAATGATTTTATTATTCAATGCACATTTCTGAAGACAAAGTTTATGGTTTTTCGTGTTGTTTAATATAAACACTTAATAATTTGTATTTGCTGTGGTCATTTGAATTAACATGCCTTTAGAGTTGCATCCCTTGAGCCAGAGACCAGGATATTGTTATGACAGTCCACAGCCTGTGTGTCTATAGGGTGGGCCTTCTCCACCACTGTATGAGTACCCCCTTCTTCCCATATATGAATGCTGCCATCCCTGCAATCAAAAACAATTAAAAGTGTCTTCAAACAATTGTAGACATTTAAACAGGCAAAGATAAGAAAGCCAGAGATGCAAAACTGCAATCAGTTGGGTTAAGGTTTATGGTTTGAAGTGCATTTGTCAAATTTTATCACTGATCCATTAATATAACAAAATACATACATGTATATCACAATCATTAAATGTTACCAATATGTTCAATTTTCCTGCAAACAAATTCTTACAGTATTGTTTAGTCTATTTCCTACAAATGATGCAATCAGAGAGCAGGACATTGTGTTATAATGTAAATGTACCAACATATCCTTAAATAAACACATATATCCTCTTTCATGATATGGCTTATCTGAACTGAAGTTACGGAAAAGGAATTAAATGTTCAAAATGGTAAAGAACTATGAACAAACAACACTGATAAGACTTACAAACATCCGCTAACTATCCTGCCTTCTTTATTGACAAATTTTGTTACATCTCTCTGAAGTTTGTATGGATTATTCTTTTTATTGACCCTTGATTGTTTGCCCCTGCCTGGGCTAAAGGACTGAATCTCATTCTTGGATGAGACCCATAGGTTCCCATTATGATACTGCATCCATGGCATTTGTCTGAAATACACGCTTTTTGATTTAACATTGTTTAACTACCTAAATTTTATTAAATAATATATAAAACTATTTCATAATCATTTTCCTATAAAGAATCTTTAATATGAAAAAAAACAGCTTTTCTTAATTTCAAAGCTTTTTAGATTTAATTAAAACAAAATAAATTAAGACAATAAACTTAGAAACCACGCTGTGTGATTTTTTGCAATACTAGGCATAATACATGTAATTCAGCTTAAAAACATCATACTTCCTCTACCTTTTGGAAAAGTTGGCAAGTAGTGACTCCTGGTAGGCTCCCTTTTCTCTGTTGTGGGAAATCCTGAATTTCTCTTTCAGAGGAAGACTACAATCACATACTTATACATTACTGTGGTCATAATGAAAATTCACTTTCAGCATACTTCTTCGCTTCAAATGGTGAATGAAACTTTACCTTTATTGATAACTTATAATATAGTTAAAAACATTTGTTCTTATTTGCCTAAAACCTACCAAAATTTTGTGCACACCCCTGCTTGAATTTTTTTTCACAGTTGTCATTTTGTCAGATGTCAAAAATTAATGAATTAAGATATTGTATTTTGTTTTAATGGCATAAGCCAAGAAATGTTCAACTCACACATCTTCCTCAATATGAATGACATTGAAATGTTGAGAAAAGATCATCCAAGCATGATCGCTTCTAAGCAAATCTTTCAATCTGCAACAAACGCGACATAAGATGGACAGGGACTTGATGTCCAAGTGTCTAAAAATTGAAAACAACACATCATCTGGAAGTTCACAAAAGTTTATGATCCTCTTGTTTAATTCCTTTTCATCCGATTCATTTGCGGTACCAATCATTTTTAAAGAAAATATGTGTAAAACACCAACAAATTATGTCTTTTTCAACAGGATTTCGCATTTTAAAGATTGTGAAATAACCAAGTTGCCATCAGGATTATTTTTATCAATGTAGAAATGGATCTTGAATATATGCACTACGGTGCACTGTATAAAGCGTTTAAAAGACTAGTAAATAAAAGAAACCATGATCTGATGGAAGAAAATCATCCGGAATATCCCCGGTTTGTATAAAAATCATCGTCTAAAATTATTTTCATTGATTATTAAAAGTATATATTTCGTTTTCAATTGAGAAATGTTTAGATTAAAAAAAAAACTACATCACTGTAGTCGATGAGTGTGATGGTTATTCTGATCAGGCAATAAACTATATGAGGTAAAGTTATCTCTAAAAAAAAAAAACTATATATATGATAGTTTATACTAACTAAAACTAACTAAAGTTTGACACTGAAATTTACAAATTAAACCATAATTTATGAGGTAAATGCAAATATTTATTGCCCGAACACGGTTAAACACTTTTCACGATATAAGGGGACGACCATTTGATTCTTGGCAGATTTTGGAAATAAATAATCTGTCCCTGCAAATGTTGAAAATAAATAATATGTCCTCCACTACAGAGAAAATAAATAATCTGACCTTGACTTCTGATAATTAAATATTGTAAAAATACCTTTTTATTTACGTGTAATTTAATCTCAAAAGTCTTCAATTCAAAAAAATTTTTCGCTCGCCATTTTATTAGAACCAAATAGTATTTAAAATCAAATTACCAGACTGGATACTTTAGTCAGTTTATCAACATGACAATGTGCACTTAGTAGGTGTGATGAATAACTTTAAATACAAACCAATTCTTATACACCACAAAAGATAAATTTTCTTGTCGAATAATTATACTTTCCAGATAAATTAATACAAAATATACACTGGCGGATTTAAGGGGGACGTACATGTGTACGACCCCAGGCCATCCCTTAAAATTTCAAAGTATGATACGAATAATAATAATGCCATACTTTGGGACAAAACCAATATTTTTGTGCCTAGTTTTACTCTTAAAATACACAAAAACCTGAGAGCTTTAGGGGGCTTCGCCCTCTGGGCCCTTTTTATTCAAGGTATGATATGACTTATTAATGTCATACTTTGGTACACATCTAACCAATTTCTACAAAAGCTTTACTCTTACACATATTGAAAAACCCAAAAACTTCAGGTGGCTTTGCTCCCTGAACTTACTTCATTCAAAGTACGGTATGACCAGTATTAATTATGTCATACTTTGGTTCATAATAACCAATACCATTATAATAGTGCCTGGTTTTACTCTTAAAATACACGAAACCCCAAGAGCTTCGGGGGTGGGGTGGGGGTGGGTGTACTCCCTTGGCCTCCACCAGGGCTTCGCCCAGGACCCACTGGGACCCTTACGGCGGCCCCAGACCTCTTGCCTAAACAAAGTTATACCTGTCCCCTCCTCAAATCCTGTATCCGAATATGGTATTATAATGATTAGTCTTTTAGAATCAATTGATCAAGATATGGTGAAACATAGAAGAAAATAAATAATCTGTCCTTGATAATCTTGAAAATAAATAATCTGTCCTCGACAGGCATGAAAATAAATAATCCATCTCAAAAAAATTTGCCCGCCCCCCCCCCCCCCCCCCTCAGGATCAAATGGTCGTCCCCTAACTATGGCACCGTGGCGCCATTAATTAATTCACAAAAATGAGCTAAACATAGTTTCACAGTTGAAAAACTAGTTTTATCGACTGTAAACTATAGTTAACAAACCGTAAACTATAGTTAACAATTCGTTTACTATAGTTTCCATCTGCAAAACAATATATTTAACGGTTGTTAACTATAGTTTACGAATGCTAATCTAAGTTTATCTGTCTGTTATGGCACGCCAAATTCACAAAAATGAGATAATCATAGTTTCACAATCGATAAACTAGGTTTATCGACTGTAAACTATAGTTTACAAACCATAAACTATAGTTAACGATTCGTTAAGTATAGTTTTCATCTGTAAAACTATATTTAACGGTTGTTAACTATAGTTTACGAATGCTAATCTAAGTTTATCTGTCTGAAATAAGCGTTAACAATAGATTTTGTTGATAAACATAGATTCACGTTTGTAAACTATAGTTTACAATCGTAAACTATAGTGAAGAGTTGTTTCACAAATCGTGAAACTATATTTATCAGATCGTTAACTATAGTTAACGGTTTGTAAACTATGGTTTACAAATTGTGAAACTGTATTATCAGATTATATATGTTTTGCAATCGCAAATGATTGTTTTCGGTGTTAAGTATAGTTTACGCTTGTGAAACATAGATTATCGCGTTAACTATGGTTTACAGATGTAAAATATAGATTAACGTTGTTAATAGTTTACAGTCCGTAAACTATAGTTTACAACCGATAAACCTAGTTTATCGATTGTGAAACTATGATTAACTCGATCATTTTTGTGAATTTGGCGTGCCATAGTCTGTAATAAAACGTTAACAATATATTTTGTTGATAAACATAGATTCACGTCTGTAAACTATAATTTACAATCGTGAACTATAGTTAATAGTTGTTAATCATAGTTTCACAAATCGTGAAACTATATTTATCAGATCGTTAACTATAGTTTAGAGTTGTAAACCGTAGTTTACAAATCGTGAAACTGTATTTATCAGATATTCTATGTTTTGCAATCGCAAATGATTGTTTTCAGTGTTAAGTATAGTTCACGGTTCTGAAACATAGATTATCGCGTTAACTATGGTTTACAGACGTAAAATATAGATTAACGTTGTTAACTATAGTTTACAGTCCGTAAACTATAGTTTTCAACCGATAAACCTAGTTTATCGACTATGAAACTATGTAAAGCTCATTTTTGTGAATTTGGCGTGCCATATATAGCACATAGGCGTCGGAACCGGGGGTGGGGGTGGGGTAGAATTTAGTACTACCAAAAGATGTTCGATCCTAACCCCTCCCCATTTTGCGATATAAACGATAAGAGTCAACTCAGGAGGCTGAGGGGTCCACAAATTCACCAGATTTAACTTTTTTTTTTTTTTTTTTAGATACGGTAACTTAACCTGTCAGCTATCATTTGGCAAAGAAAAAAATCATACATCTTAGTTTTAAAATTTGATCATTTTTGTATATCTTTATATGGAGCTCTTCTTTTAAAGGAGATCGAACTAGTCTGAAAATGGATGCCACCCCAGCCTCTTTGATAACTAAAATATATTGCAAATTATAGGATGACTTTAAATTAGCTCTTCCATCGTCAACAGTACATGTAGTAATTAATATGTCATCATCTGCCATTATCTGCCAATGGTATTTAAATGCTTCCCAACTGTGATACACAAGACCTGCGCAATGTAGCTCTGAGTAATATCAAATTTCAACCCGGGGTAAGCTACTAACAAATAATTTCATGTCACAAGGATTTTAACGACCCCGTTTAAAGTCAACATTTTGCAATTTCTACGATCCTTAAAATTAATGAACTTGTTTGTTTTAGGATCGAGATGGAACTAAACTTGACTTCGGAGTACTCCGTTTTCCTGATCAATACAGAAGGCTTGCTTCAGGTGTGACCACCAAAGGGGATTCTTACTATTCTAAGACTCCCGATCCAGTTTCTGGTGTTGCCCAAGGTTCCATGGTTTTGGCTTTTTCAGTGTTACGTTTACTGAGTTTCTTATACTGATTACTCTCTCCGTTATCTTCACCGTTTACCAGTTTACATTGAGGCACTATATTACACAATATGTGGTACATGTATAAAACAAATTACAGTCCGTAAACTGCAATTTAGAGTCAATCTAGTTTAACAACTGGTAACTATGTTCAGTTTTTTTTTTTAATTTTGCTATCCAAGATAGAGCTTGAATTATGCATATATATGATGATCAAAAGTCAAAATTCAGTATTCACGGGGAATGACATACATGTACCCGCTATGCAGGAACTCAATATTCTGCCGATGTAACAAACACACTAATTTTTATCTTGACTTGAATTAAAGAAAATTTCTTGTTTAAAATGTTTGAATTGAGGTACTTTGTTTATTTGCATTTTTAAAAGACTTTGAATACAATGTATTAATTGACATTGGACCGCATTTTTAAGCCATGCACTATTAAAAGGTTGTTATTGTAACAATACTTTAAAGTGATACTAGTTTTTAATATAGAGTGTAGTAAGGAAAAGCTGTAAGGAAAAAATGATATATATGTATATCAAAAGAGCTGATTTTTTTCTTCAAAGATTTGAAATCGATGCCATATTTATGAGCATGAGTAGATTCAATTTGTTAAGCGTTATTTGAGATGAGAAGTCTGAAGGACTCATTTAACACCACGTAAGTGTCATGTAAAAATACCATAAATCTGAAAAGTTAATGAAATATTATATCTTGCTAATCACAATTCGAGATAACTTGACAAACTCTTAAAATTTTATATTCTTCAACAGATGTGGGGACAAACAAGGTATTGAGGGTGTAGGGATTGAATTACAGGGTACAAGTGTACCAAAGTTTGATGACAATTTTTTACTGTAAAGTATCGAAAAATCTCTCAGTTGTTGTTGAAATATTTGATAAATTTGGGAGAGAAAAATTATTCAGGATTTGTAGAGGAAGAAATAACAGAAAACGTAATTGTAACACTCACTACATGGTGATAATTATATAGGAGCTACAATAGTGAATATATTACTGAAGGTCCCCATTCATAATTTTTTTTTTCATATAACTACATTTATTTCCGAATGGAATGCTAAAACTCAATCAATCAATCAATCAACAACTACATTTGTTACATTTGATACACGGAGCCAGATTACCAGTTTATTAGTATCTCTTTGGTTGTTATTTTATAACAACATAGAGATCAAGGCAACATATTACAATTATAACAATATACATATTGTGACAGGCCCAATCTTCCTTGTCACAGATAGCAGTTTTATACACAGTATGACTTTGACGTATAATTTACATATATTGACACTAAGGTAATGTTGAACCGTCCATCAACAGGTGTTAGACAGGTGTTTCAAACAGAAGTGAAA